ACTTTCCCAAAGACACAATGTAGGACTGTGCTGAGATTCAAACCCTCGAAACCACAATCTCACGATAATGAGATTGGTAGCCTAACTGTCTATTAGACATATTATGACTGGACGTGAGAGAGATAACAAAACAGTAATGTGGTAAAGAAGGAGAAGAAGCAGAACACACCAGAGTGCCCAGCAACAACCAGAAAGGTCTTGGGTTTGTTTTGTTTTGTTTAGTTAAGAAAACCACATCCACATTATGTTTGTTTGATAATGAGACAGAGCAAGATAGACATCCAGACAGACATACCTAAACAGGAGGGTAATAAAAGATGTAGCATCTATCCGTCGCACCCTCAAACCACCCACTCCATCCTTAAGGAAATAGACACAACATTGGTGCTAGACTAAATAAACATTATCATTGCAATTCAGCTCTTTCAACAAAATCCTAATCCTTTCCGTTTGAAAGAACTGGCGTCTAAGGTAGTGGTATTACGCTTTTCACTTTCAAATGCAGAAGATGAGAGCATGATTCCTGTTATGACTTGGGTATTTTAACCCTATCCGTACATCGTGTTTTACTATTGTATCCATACAATGTGGGGAACTCTGTGCCACCACTTTCCAAAGAGGAAATATACTTGTTAATCTGATTCGTACGCTTTGCACAGCAGTTTGTCAAAATGATATTTTGAGAAATACTGAAAGTTTCAAAGAGAACTTCGTACTAGAAGTGTTCTAAAAAGTGAAGAATACAACTCCGGGGGTACAAAATGACCCCGGGGCGTACGGATACGGTTAATTGAGTCTCCCCCTCTGTTTGTCCGTTGAGTCATTGTATCCCTCTTAGAACAGGTAGACCCTGACAGGCAGAGTCAAAGCATTTCACCTCCAAAATGATCTAAATTGTGTCAATGAGTTCATAAAACAAGACTTTATGTGGGCAATACAACAATATTTTGAGAACAAACAAAAAATCCTTTCAAAAACGCCCTACCTACTCCATGTTTAAAAAAATTTAAGCATCATGTGCATACATTTAAAAAAATATAATATTTTGCAGGTCAAAAATAGGCTTGGCTGGAGAAATATTGTTGATGGCCCATGCTCCACAGGGAGTTAAAAAGGGCAAGACAGAGAGAGGTCAACAATAAGGTTCCGAACAAAACCATTAAAAAGAATGCAGCAAAATATTTTGTATAATAAAGAAACAATTGCATGTTCATTCTTTGTCATGGAGCTAACAAGCCGCTGGGAAGTGATGACTAATTCTATTGTGTAAACACATGAATAAGAAACTTTACCTGTGGTAGACTCTACAGCAGGCATAAATGCTTCATCTTCTTTTGATCTTTTCCTACAAATGAAAAAAAAATAGAACGGTGTAAAAATACTAAAACGGAATAGCATTCTCAATAGCAAAATAAAAGCAAAAATGCAAAGCAAAGACGTCACAATTCAAAATGATAATCGAGGAAATATTTTCATCTTTGTTGACTTCAGTGAACTGGACTTCAAAAATGTATGTCCGATGAAATATAATTAATTAGATTCTTTTGTTATTTTTATCCACTGTGGACATTACTTAGGCCACTGTTAATGATCAAAATGTTGTCATCGCTGTTGCAGTGTCTTCAAAAGACTACATGGTTTGTTGTTTTTTTATAGTAGAGGGTTTTACGGCACTCGCAACTGCATAAGGTCATATGAATGAGCGCCAAGGGGTGGGTGTCACCAGAGAAGTCTTTACAGGGAATCAGACTTATTCTGCTCACCTCTCTAGCTTCAACAGCACAAGATCTGCTTCAACTATCAAGGCACCCCGGAAATAGCAGGTCACAAGAGAGTGACAAACATACAAAAGAAGTTGAGTAAAATGACAATAGCAAAGATTAGGAAAGAAAAAGCAGCAGTTCCCTGTTGTAGATCAGGCACAGTTATGAGCATGACATGAATCAGCCTATTTACAATTCAACCGTGCTTGAACGAGAAATGTCTCCCCTTTGGGAATGGCCAAAAGACACTTCAGTCAGAGTGGAACTGCCCCGGGGGGGGGGGGGACTACATGGTTAACGCTAAAATGATAATGATAATGGTAAGTATCAGACGGCACTAGAAAGTAAAGTAACATACAAACAAAGAAAGGAAGCAGGGGAGATAAGAACGATATAACGTTTCATAGGAAAAAAGAAGCAAACTACACAGAGTGCCCACCAACCAAACACATATTTAATAATATCGTCCTCCACATACTTTTAGTTTTAGTAAGAGTTTTACGGCACTCGCAGCACAATAAGGTCATATAAGTGCCGAAGATTAGAGGTGTTACAAGAAAGTAACAAACACAAAACAGAAGGAGGGGAGATAAGGACGATAGATTTTGTATAGGAAAGAAGAAGCAAACCACAACAGAGCACCCGTCAACAACCCACATACACAGGGTAGACTACATCACTAGTGGTACAGTTCTCGAAAGGACAATATTAACATGGGGCAGTTTGAGTAAACAGTAAAGAGAAACACATTGACACCACAACGACCACTTAACGGTAGAAAAAGGCAAGAAAGACACAACAATGGGTGAGTAAAGAAGCAAGATAAAGGTGGCGCCCTCCAGACAATATATGCATTTTGAAACGGTACTGCATGGGACCGTTTAACAACGATGGTCACGTTGGGACTCATCGCTGTTAGCCACAATAACGGATGGCACAGACGCATAGACGGCGTTTTAAAAACTGGCAACTACATGTAGTAAAACCATCTTTTACAACAAGTAAAACTGAAAAAAAGAAAGAAAGAAAGCGAAAAAAATATTCTAATTTAAAAAACACACACAACTGGAGACTGAACTGGACAACAGAAAGAAAGAAAGAAAGAAAGAAAGAAAGAAAGAAAGAAAGAAAGAAAGAAAGAAAGAAGGAAGGAAAGAAAGAAAGAAAGAAAGATTCTAGTTTCTAAAATACATAAAACTGGAGACTAAACTGGACAACAGGAAGAAAGAAAGCAAGAAAGAAAGCAAGAAAGAAAGCAAGAAAGAAAGAAAGAAAGAAAAGACAAGAAAAAAACCAAGTAAGAAAAGAAAAGAAACAAAGAAAGCAAGAAAGAAAGAAAGAAAGAAAGAAAGAAAGAAAGAAAGAAAGAAGAAAGAAAGAAAAGAAAGAAAGAAAGAAAGAAAAGAAAGAAAGAAAAAAAGAAAATTCTAATTTTTAAACTACACAAAACTACAGACTTACAATTTGAAATTGAGAACAGCACCCGCGTTGACCAGCAACGTCCTGCAAAATAATAGAACAAAAGGATTATTTGTCGTGAATAAAACAAAAAAGCATAGATCTAAACCTACAAACAGGTAAAAATCCGATCTGAATGCCTACTTACTACCATTTACCAGTAATGACCCATTCCATGAAAAATAAAATGAAACTGCAAAATGACACGCGTAACCAGGCAAGGGCATTATGACTTGCTTGGTAATGTTAAATTCCAAAAAGTGATAAAGCCGTTTTTGTTTGTTGCAAGGAGTACTACATATGTATATCACTCCTTGGTTTATTTGTTTGTTTTCTCTTGGGGAGGGCGGGTGAATTAATGAAGGTTACTTTTACCCCTCCCCCCCAAAAAAAAATAAAAAAAATAATTGTAATGGCTCTATCACTACTTCGAGCTTTTTTTCCCCAGCAAGTCACCATCCCCGTGCTATGTGTGTCACGGCCGTTTCAATTTTCATGGAATGACCCTTATGTCAAAGGGCGCGCATATTATGTGATGTGAGTGAGTGTGCCAAGATAAGTGTATGAGTGTGACTGTTGTCTTCATCCATTTTCATCAGTTTTAGTTTTAGTAAGAGTTTTACGGCACTCGCAACTCAATAAGGTAATATAAATGCCGAAGATTAGAGGTGTTACAAGAGAGTAACAAACACAAAAAAGAAGGAGGGGAGATAGAGACAATATATTTTTTTTAAAGGAAAGAAGGAGCAAACCACACCAGAGCACCCGCTTACCACCCACGATCCCATCCTTTATCTTGTTCCCTAAACACGGAGAGAAAAAAAAGACGTGCTCACAGACAAAACATGACAATGGCGAAACATTTGCCAAACTATAGAAATGTTCTTTTTCACTTTGAACTGAAGAATATATGTTAGTTATCGACGTGTCGGCACTGAAATAGCCAAATTTATATCGCCTGAAAGCACACCGAAAAATGCAACAGTGGGGTTAATATTTAAAAAAAGAAGTGGAAGATGCAGAGTGCGCACCAAATATAGATGAATCGATAAGGAGAAAGAACAGAAGTAAAACCCACTAGTGAGGCCCTCCATATTTCTTATAAGAAATAAGCTACCAACACAAACAGACAGACAGACAGACAGACTCTCAGAAAGACACTTATACAGAAAGACAGACAGGAAGACACTTGGAGAGAAAGACAGATAGACACTTAAAGAAAGAAAGACAGACGGACAGACAGACAGACAGACACAGACAGGAAAGCTTGGTCTGAGGTGCAAGAAAACTACAACATCCTATTATTTGACCAGAAAACATCGACTCTGTTTTTTTTTCCGAAATCAAACGGTAAACCAGATTTTTCTCTAGTTTTATCAGACAATCAGACACGTTCTCGTGGGTGGTTGGCGGGTGTTCTGCTTCTTCTTTCCTATCAAACATCTATCGTCCTTGTCTCCCCTTCTTTTTTAGGTGTGTTACTCTCTTGTAAATACCTCTAATCTGTTGAGGCTAGAGAGGCGAGCAGAATAAGCCTGATTCCACGTTTGGACTTCTCTGTTAACATCCACCCCTTGGCGCTCATATGACCTTATGCAGTTGCGAGCGCTGTAAAACCTCTACTAAAACTAAACTAAAAGACAAGTTCTCGCAGCGGAGACAGATTGCTGCACGCAGACACTGTATCAACAGTATTTAAAACCCCGCTTCCCCAACCAGTCTCTTTAAAGATTCTTTTTTCCCAGGGTAACGCCACACATCCTGTGTACAGAACTCGTAGGCTGCAGGAGATTAGCTTCCCAGTGGTAACCCATCGCATCAAGGCGTAAACGACAAACACACACAAACACACACACACACACACACACGCACACACACACACACAGCGCGCGCACACACACAAACGCATACATACACACGCACACACAAAGACGTCCGTACACGTACACACACACACACACACACACACACACAAA